CAAACCAGGGAAACCCCCCCCCCTCCCCCCCAGCCCCGGCCCCTAAAGGGGGTAGAGTCTGGCCACTGGGCACGTGCGAGCCAGAGGCCTGCATGCAGACAGATAGCCCTGACAGCTCTGCACCCAGTGGTCAGACGATGAGCCGGGCAGCCAGCACCAGTCCAGTGTCCCCCGCCCAGTCCCCCAGTGCCCAGGGGCCAGCCAGGGGCCATAGACGGCGCACCCCCGCCTGGACTGGTGCGGAGATCATGGACCTCATTGAAGTGTGGGGGGAGGCCCCCAATGTCCGTGATCTCCACACCAGTCAAAGGAATGCCACCATCTATGGCCGCATAGCGGCCTCCATGGCCTGCAAGGGACACAGGCGCACCCAGGAGCAGCTGCACCTGAAAATAAAGGAGCTCAGGCAGCCATACACCAGGGCCACTAGGGGCAGCACTGCATCAGGGGCTACCACCTGCCCCTACTTCCCAGCCCTTGGCCGAATCCTGGGGGGCGGGGTGGTCCGCGCCAGCCCGGGGGGCAGCAAGCTGGGAGCTGAGGGCCCTGACCTGGGCGCAGCAGAAAGGCTACCACCAGCTGTCCCGGCACCGGAGTCGGCAGGGTCGTCTGGGGAGGCCATACCAGGTAAATGCCAGCACTGTCCCCTACCCAGGGGGAAGTGGGGAGGGAGACCAGGGACCGCGCACATGGGCCATGCCTCTCACGGATAACGCAGCCACCTATGCACATGCGGACACGTGCCGTGCCACCCTTGGGCAGGTGGCTCCAGCTGCGTGCCACACAGGGGCCGTGGCCTGATAGCCGCACGTGTGTATGAAGAGACCCAACATACTCCCGACCTCGGGGTGGGACACAGCAGGACGCCCTCCTTTTACATGCCCCCTCTACATGGGGCAGGGACATCCCCCCCCCCCCCCCCCCCCCCCCGCCCCCCGACACAACCACTTCGGTCCTCACCACTACGGCACCAGAGACAACCACCTCCGTCCTCCCCACTACAGCTCCCGAGACAACCACCTCAGTACTCACCACTACCGCTCCAGACACGACTACCTCTGTCCTCACCACTACTGCTCCCGATACGACCACCTCGGTCCTCACCACTACTA